CCGAGGTTGCCTACCCCTGAACTAGATCTACCCATGTTAAAGCTGCACTGTAGTATGCCTGTCTGATAATACCATCAGGTATTAATTGTGCATAGAAATAACCTCTGCTAATTGTTACACATCTAGCCAAGTTAGAAATGTAGTAGTTGATTAGCCCTCAGTGTTATGTACTATCCATAAAAGTGAAGGAAGTTTATACCCCCACATGTGTAATGTTAAAAAGGAAAGATAACTCAATTAGCTAAAGTATAATAGAGCCAGTTTGGTCTAGGGGTTAAGGCTCCAGCCTAGAAACCAGGAGACTGTTCTAGTCCCACCTTGGGCCTGAAAGCCAGCTGGATGATTTTGGGCCATGCCTCTCTCAACCCAACCCACCTCACAGATGGTTCTGGAAAAAAATACAAGGAGGAAGGAGTACTAGGTATGCTTGCATCTTAAGTTATTAAATAATAAAGGCAAGATATAAATAATAAAAAGTTACGTTACACAGATACAAACAGACCGAAGCTGATTTTTTAAAAAAGATTACAAATAAAATATATATACTACTTATTGGCACTTACAGTGAAGTTGTCCAGATAAGAGTGATAGAACTGTAAGAAAATGATAGGAATATATAATGTAGAATTACTGCTATCAGGCCTCTTTTGACTGATAAGGCAAAAACATCAAGAAGAGATTTCCAAAGGGATAAAAGCTTGGATAACTAGATTTATTATAGAAAATCTGTTAAGCTCCACCAAGAGAATTTCAGTGATTGCTGTGTATCAAATGTGTACCCTATTTATACTGAAATCAAATTATCATGCTTCTTTCTTCTGAGTGATGCAACAGGCTGGAGAACTTTGTCTTTTGGGCTTGGTTTCCATGTCTTTTGTTTGAGAATGAGTAGTTCTGTCAACAGGCTGTTTACATTAAACAAGAGCAAAACATACAGTCCTACCTTTTTTTTTTTTAAATGGGCATTTGTTTCAGAAACATTTTGTAACTATCCAGGAAAAAAAAAATCTTAAGGTCAATGCAATAGCTGAATGTACATCAATGGTGAAAAATGGGAAATTCTATCTTGGGACCTATTAGAAAAAGAATTGAAAATAAAAGTGAAATCTTTGTAATATTCTTATACAAATGTATGGCATTTCATATCTAGAATACTATGTACAGTACTGGCCACCACATTTGTAACTGAATTAGAAAATGCAAAAGAGGCAGTCAAAAAGTCAGCTTGAGCATTTTATTTATAAGACAAAGAACATTTGGGACTCTAGTTTGGAAAAAAGTGATTAGAGGGACATGATAGAGATGTATGAACGCATGAGGAAATTGGACAGGGAAGCGTTTTTCTTTCTCAAAATTCTGATCATCCAGTGAAGTTGCCTGGAAAATTTAGAACAGACTAATGTACTCTTTCACACATTGTATTATTAACTTGTGGGATTCATTGTCACAAGGTATGGTGGTGATTGTGTAGAACATGAGTGTCTTAACCTTTTGGCTTGTCTGGGCTGCATTAACGAAAGAGGAATTGTCTTGGGCCACATATAAAATATATGTAGTAAAATATATAACTGCATATATTGTTAAATGTTAAAAATTTATGATCTTCTGGGGCCGCATTACCAGCTGCCCAGGACCACATCTAGCCCATGGGTTGGACACCTGATGTAGAAAGTAAAGAGGATGATCTTGATGAGACAAGGAAATTACGTTATCAAGACAGCAAGTAGATAAATATTGCAGAAGCCCAGATAAGGAAAGAGGGTTACAAAATCATCTTAGAAAAGCACTCCCTTCATTCATATGAATATAAAAAAGGGAGGGGGGAAATACATTCAGACTTGCAAGTTTCTGTAACTGTAGCCAGTCTTAAAAAAAAAAAATAGTTTTCGGCTATGTGGCATCTATTTCTTAATCTGGTCTACTTTGCATTACATTATATTACATTACAGTTTGTTGAATATTCATTATGTTGCCTTACTTAAGTATACATTTAGATTCAAGATCCAAAGATCCAAAGAACGGTGTCATTAGTTCTGTGTATTCAGAGAGCTTTGAACAGGTGTTTCTTCCTCATCCCACATCTTAACCTTGCCTTGAAACTGGAAGACTGTCATTGTGTAATACCAAATCAGGTTTGCAGTTGTCAGGCCCAAGCTTTTGGATATACACTACCAAAACCAGCTCAAGGAAAAAAGATTCTGAAATAAAATGTGATGATCCATAATTAATACAATTTTAATAAATAAATTATTATTAAAATAAAACCTAAAACAATATGTAGAAACTTCAGAGTGCAGAAGGTGGACAAGGAAGGCACTTGGTAGCAATTTGGAAAATCAAAATTCAGAAATAAATTAGATGATCAAGAAATGTCAAGAGACCACAGCCGTTAAGCATCATTAGACCTGTCGTACACACCTGTAATTCTGATTATTTGGAGTTCCTTGAAAAGACAGTCTCCTTTAGATTGATCTTGATTCCTGGTGTCTTCATGAATTTTTTGGGCAACAGTATGGACATGGTTTGTCATTACCTTATTCTGGAATATTTTTGAGACTTCCCAGTTTAGTCTATAGTCCTCATTCAAGTATTAACTAAATCTGGTCCTGTTTAGTTTGAACCTAGAATGGCTTTGTCAGGCATGGCCACTTCCTAAGACAAAACTCCCTTATGCTTTTTCAAATATTGTGTCAATTTCTTTGATTAATAAGTGACCCCAGTGAATGCTATTGTATCTGAAAAGTATTTGAGCCAAGGTCTAAATAGAATTAAGAAAAATGTGTTTGCATAGTTATGGTGAGGATCCATTAAGCTTAGCTTTTCTTTCCAGATTCACCCTAGCATTTCTCAAGACTTTCCCCATAAATCCTGTCCCCAAAGACTGGAGAGCAACTACGTTCAGTTTAGTTGTCGCACATATCATTCCCCAGAAAGGAAAGTTTGATAATTCCTTCATGCATCTTTTCCTTAAGTAATACAAGGAGTTCTTGGGATTCTAATTCCTGTGACAGAACATCATTTTTATTCCATTTACTTCATGCTGAGTATGTGATTCACCTCCCTCCCTTTTTCATTTAGAACAATAAAAATACCACCTACAAGATTAGCAAACTTGAAAACATTAAAATGTTTCCTTTGTAGATTAGTCTGAATCCAATTACTGAAACAAATAAAAGCTTCCAAATTACATTTATTTTCAAATGCTCTATGGCTCTTAAGGACATGAATATTTCTTTTTCTCCATTAAATAACTAGAGTATAATATCATTTAATATTATCATGGTTTAAGTTCAAGTTAACTATCTCTTTCTAAACATGACATTTGAGAGACAAATGTACATTTTGGAACTTTATCATTAAGTGTTGGGAATACATTTTTTTTAAGTTTTTATTGAATAGAAAAAGAAAAAAAGAATTAAAAACATGGAACATGGTAAATCATCTTTGACAGACATCTCAGTCCATATTTACATTAATTACCGATAAATATATCTGTGCTGGGAATACATTTTGATGTGCTCAGCCAATAGTAATACTTCACATAGTCATATACTGTTATTTTTTTCTTCCTTTCAGCTGTAAAACGTTTAATGAAAGAAGCTGCTGAACTGAAAGAGGCAACAGACCATTATCACGCACAGCCTTTAGAGGTTAGTGGATTCCCATTTTGTATGCAATTCATGGCTAAGGGATTTGAAGAAATTAAATTTAGGGAATTAAAAGTAGGCAAGCATGGACATTCTGCCTCTGAACCTCTTTTTAGTGCCCTCTCCCCATCTTCTTGTATCATAATTATCAAAAATCAGCACAATGGCTGCTAACCATTTCTGATGGAAAGTAAACAGGTATATATGTCCTAAGAAAGGCTTATGGTATTTAAAAAAAATAAAACAATGTTCTGCCCAGCACAGAGGAAAAAAACCTGACCTCACCTATGTACAATATTGTTCACTTTTATTGGTAACTATTGATAGCTTTGGTGCCCCAACCAATTTTGAGTATGGCCATTAAACAAGTAGACCTAGAAAACAATGGTACAGATAGGCCTCATTGAACAACTGTCCTGTTTAGCAACCATTTGAAGTTATGTCAGAGCTGAAAATGTAGTTTTATAACCATTGCCCTATTTACATCCATCCCAGCATCCCATGGTCATGTGATTGCAATTTGCATGCCTTATAATGGCTTCCGACAAGTAGCGTCAACAGAGAAAATGGCAGTAAAATTGGAAGACATGATCATGTCTTGCTTAACAGTCTGGTCACTTGCTTAGCAACTGAATGGGACTATTAAGTTGGGTTGTTAAAGTCAGATTGTTGATTCAAGGAATTAAACTTTAATATGCCAGTTATGGCCTATTTAACCATAATGATGGCAGTCAGGGAAATGTTACTTGACTTCAAATTTAATTTGGTGTATTTTTGAGTGAGAGTGGCTGTTTAATATTTTCATTTTTTTTTCTTTTGTAGGACAATCTTTTTGAGTGGCATTTCACAGTAAGAGGTCCTCCAGATTCAGAGTTTGATGGAGGAGTATATCATGGAAGAATAGTGCTGCCACCAGAATATCCTATGAAACCNAGGGAAATGTTACTTGACTTCAAATTTAATTTGGTGTATTTTTGAGTGAGAGTGGCTGTTTAATATTTTCATTTTTTTTTCTTTTGTAGGACAATCTTTTTGAGTGGCATTTCACAGTAAGAGGTCCTCCAGATTCAGAGTTTGATGGAGGAGTATATCATGGAAGAATAGTGCTGCCACCAGAATATCCTATGAAACCACCAAGTATTATTCTCTTAACGGTAACAAACTTCAGGTGTCAGCTAGAAAACCACAAATGCTTTGTTAGATTATTAGATCATTGTTAAAAGTCTCAATTTCTTAATATGTAAAATGATTTTAAGAAAGAAAAAAATGGATGTAATTGTTTTTTCTAACCTTTCATTGTCAACACATAGCCATTAAGTTACACTTGATTTTTTAGGATTAAGCTATAATCATTTTTTCCATCACTTGTATGATATCCACTTCATCGGGCATGGTTCTCAACAGTGACACCTCTATAAAATCTTTCAGCAGTAAAATCACCATGAAATAACAGGGTCATATGTTCATTTAACAGTTAAAAAATAAATTCACCCTCTATTCCCTCAGGGAAACTAGCAGTTATCTGCTTTTTTATGCAGGGAGAATTGGAGATATTTGAAGGATTGATGGGGTATGGTGGCTGTAGCATGCAAAGGAAAAATAATTTTAAAGTTCTTGGAAATGATTATCAGCAGCAAGTGGTGTTTGGGGTCATTCCAGTTTTTTCCTTTTTTTGGTATTGAGAGTTTTAATAAATTAAAATAATAAACAGATTAACAACATCCATTATTTAGGAAATCATAAATAGTTTTTTTTTATTGTATGTATGCCGGAAAAGCAGTTTTAGCTTTTTCCCTCACCCTGCCAATGGGCCTGCTCACTCACAACTTTTTCACACCAACCCTTGCTAGCAGTCAAGTCAGCTCATCATTTCCTATGTGATTCACTTCAGCAAAACCACATCATGACATGCCTCAAAATCCACAGTGAGTAACACTGAATCTTAGCTTTTAAAAAATGTGTGATGAAATGATTTTTTTCCCTTCTCAATTTGTTTTTTTTAAGGCCAATGGTAGATTTGAAGTGGGAAAGAAAATTTGTTTAAGCATCTCAGGACATCATCCTGAAACATGGCAACCATCTTGGAGCAGTAAGTATCAACATTGGCAGTAAGGAAAGTTTGATAAAGAAGTAAATTTCTGCTGTTAAAAGACCATAGTACTTTAGTACAGCAGATTTTATAATATTCTTTCTCTCTCTCTCTCCCTCTTTCTTTCTCTCTTATTGGATCTAGGTACTGATCAATTTTGCAATAAAGATACTGCTCCAGCATCATGTAAATAAATCAGTTTGTGACTGGTCTTTGTGCATATGTTCCAAATGTGGGACTACATGGATAAAAAGAGTTAGACCACTGCTATAAGTTATATTTGTGGACAAACCTGACTGAAATACTTTTTCCAAATTGCCCTGTAGCTTTGCCTTTTTTGTGCCTTCTCTCTCTCTCTCTCTCTCTCTGTGCATATTACTAATTACTAATTAGTAATTACTAATTACTAAAGTTATTTTTATTACAGTAAGAACTGCCTTGCTTGCTATTATTGGATTTATGCCAACAAAAGGAGAAGGAGCCATAGGATCTTTAGATTACACACCTGAAGAAAGAAGAGCACTGGCTAAGAAGTATGGGTTAAGTTTTGTGTGAAATAAACAGTTACGCACAATTGTATTTCTGAATAAAAATATTCTTTGATTTTGTAATTGATTTTCAGGCCTCTCGGTATCTGAGAGTATATCTGAAATCAAGGTAGTTAAACCTTTTGAGGATTGAAAATTGCTTGTGAACATTATTCTAGGGGTTACCTGGTTGGGGGGGTGGGGGAAATGGAGTAGCAGAAACTATATGTTCTTAGCCTTATCATTTTTTTTAGCCTATGTTGATTCCTTTCCTTTCAACTTATCTAGTTTTAAACCAGGTATATAATAAGTGTTTTGACTTATTATCCAAATCTTAGGCAGGTGAGGGGCAACATAAGAAATCTTAGGCCAGCACAGATGATGCTTTTTTACAGGCCACTAAATATGATTTTCATTTTGAGAACTTCTGGTAAAAATAGAGCATCTCCTTTCCTGTCTAACTTCTGATAGAGCAGAAGATTTTTTTGCTATAGAATTTTTTTTCTAGAAATTTTTCAGCAGATTTTTTGTTCCAGATACCCACTGAAATCCATCTTTTTCTTGACTATGAAATGGTAAAGGTCTTAGACTGTAGTCAGATTTAATCCCATGGTATCATAAGGCCAGAGGCTTCTACTGATGTGTGATAAGACCTTGCTGCATTACTGTTGCTTCTAGAATTGCATATCGCATAATCTACTTACCCTGCAGTTAGGTTCTTCTCTATTTGTACTGTCAAGTTTTTGTTGCTATGGAATTTGGCAGAGCTTTTGATTCTGTTTTGGCTCTGTTATTAGCTTCTTCAAGTATTTTATACAGACAGTAACTATATAGTACTAAAGCTGTTTTGTATGTAACTTTTAACTGGGCAAAACACTGCATCATAAGGCAACAATTTTTGAAGTAAGGTGGGCTAATTTACAGAATGCATCCAAAATATGGGACCAGTGACTCCCATGGGACTGAAATTTGGCAAATTTGTGGTCACTTCAATACCGCCACCCAGAGGTTCAGTAGACCAGTTCTGCCTAAGCCCTCTGGAGGCCTGGTAGACCGGCCCCTCCTTTTCAGCTGGAAGTCAGGTGGAATGGTTCCACCCAAGCTCTCCAGAGACTAGGTAGATCAGTCTTATCATCAGCTGCCACAGGGCAGTCGGCTGCAAGTCAAGCTCCCCGGAGATTCCTCCCACTCCTCCTACTTTTTTGCCCTTGCTCATTCTGATTCTCTGCTTAGGCAAGGAATATCTCTGAAAAGAAGACCCCATAAGTCACGGGTTGTCTAGTCCTATCCCAATTTATTCAGAATTGTTCCATTCATTCATTCAGGCTTACCTCTAGATGAGAGGTTTCAGCCTTAAATTAGTAGGGCAAGAAAATTGATTTTGCACAATTATCTAATGAGTAAAATGAATAGCATCTGATCCTGATTCTTTTAAAACTGTCTGGATCTGTTTCTCTGAGAAGACAGTGGGGTGATGTGTTTGTTCTTTAATCATAATATTTTGTGATTTTTTTTCCTTTATAAAATAGAACTAGTCAGTTACATGGTGTTCTTTATTTAATCTAAGGTGACCAACTTTTACAATGAGAAGGAGGACACAAATAAATTGAAGAAAAAAATATCGTAAATAAAACATTTTATTCATTGCAACAATACAGAATACACTATAATATGATAAATGCATAATAAAAACATTTGTAACAATAACATTTTATATTGTAACTATGCTTACATGCCTATTAATTATTATTTAAATGAGTACAAAAGAAGGACTGTCCTCCCTAAAGGAGGACGATTGGTCACCTTATTTAATCCACAATGCTTACGTCAAGAGCTGTGTTCAGGGGTTATCACTGTAAGTCAAGATTCAGAAAAAATGTGGTTTTCCTGTGAGCAGAGATTTTCCAGAAATGGAAAATTTACCAGGGTCAAAATTTTATTTCAGGTTGGTGGTAATTGCATAATGTTTGCTTATTAAGCAATGGTTCTAAAAATTTAAAAGCCAAAAATACACCGTATATCACTTTTACTGCTTATTCCCTAACATTGTCGCCAGTTCTCCAACAAAGTATTTTTTTTCCATATCAGAGCTTTTGATTTCTTTGAATATAATGTTCAAATTCCATAAAATAGGCTGGATATTTTTTCCACAGAAAATAATGTACTTTAAATATTTATGCAGTGTGTGGACTTTGAGAAAAGAGTGGTAATTCAGATCATACTAGTTTACGTTTTCGGAATCTGTCAATGTGCAGTCCTTGGTACACATTACTTGACTGTTTCTGTTTCCCTTTTCTTGATCATGGAAGCATGATCTGTGATTTATTTTCTATGAAATGATCTGGATTTATTTTCTATGAAATGTGAAAGAACATCCTTGGTTTTCCTACCTAGTCAAGTCAGGGCAAGCAATGATTTCTAACTCTAGCTGGGTAGGAGGAGAATAAAAGTAGACAAACAAGTCATAAAATAAGTTTGTTTAGCTGCTTCTGTGGGCAGAAAAACCAGATGAGAAGGTTGATGAAGGAATATTCTTGCTTAGTATCTCATGCAATTGCACCCATTCAGTGGCCAGTCTTGTTTCAGAAGTAACTCCCATTGAGATAGTATTGCCATCTTAATTTATTGTTTGTCATAGTTACCTGACAATAATACCCTGTGATTGTTTAATGTGTTTAATTGTGTTCATACGTCAAATAAACCAACATTTGTTTTCCATATGATTTGAACGGTTAGAATACTACGAATGACTGAAGCAGTCATGACTTCATCCTGGGTTACTCTCCTTCCTATTTTGCACCTTTGTAAATCAGTTAAAACTTAGGTGGGGCACAAAAAACAAACCTAGATTAAGACTTACTCTGATATATGGGGATAAAATGGATCTTTTCTGTCTAATTAGGCCTTAATAAGATAGTAGGATAGGTGGGTAGGTGGAACGAAGGAAGAAAAAGAGTGTTTCTTCATGAAGCAGATTGCCAAATTTATTAGAAATGGATTACTGTGCTTCTAAATTCTAAACGAGTCTCTAAAAGTAGGAGAAAAGATGACAGCTTGTTTTCTACTGTTTTTTACAATCTTAAACATCTGGGCATACAATTATGCAGCAGATGTATAAAGAGAACTACTCTGGCAGTTGTCTGAGGAAAGATGTGATGTTCTGCCAGTGCTTGTATGCACTGCTGCATCCCCAACTGAGCCTTCCCAAACACACAACATAAGTCGTTTATCCAAGGTTAATGCTAAGCAAGGCTTAGTATAACATGCAATATGTTCGGTTGGGGCTTGCTGATTGCTAAATTAACATGTGGTCTGTTGTTATTCCCTAGGTCTCAAGATTTCTATTGTGAAGGATGCGGATCACTTATGAAAGAAGTCCTCCTACCATTAACTTCAGGGAGTGCCTCAAGCCAGGCTGACCAAGAAGCCAAGGAACTTGCCAGGCAAATCAATTTCAAGGTAAAATAACTATTTGTTCTTCTTTTCTCTTGATTACTTTGGTGCATACGACAATACCTAGGTCAGGGGTAGGCCACCTTGGCTCTTTTATGACTCATGGACTTCAATTCCCAGAATTCCTGAGCCAGCATGGCTCAGCTTGGAAACTCTCCCTTTCCTCTCAGCATGGCTGGCTCAGGAATTCTGGGAGTTGAAGTCCATGAGTCATAAAAGAGCCAAGGTTGCCTACCCCTGACCTAGGGAGATGGATTAGTGCTATCCAGCAGACAATACCAGTCAAAGCAGTATGGAGTAAAGGAGAAAGATGCTTCTGGAAGTCATTGTTCTATCTCGGCTTCATAGGATCCAAACCCTGCCTCCTTTGTTAGCTATGTTTGATTTGAAAATTGATAAATCTAATATGTTTGGGGAAATATGTCAGGTCTCACGCCCAAACCAGAATTTTAATTTTTCCTCATATTCCCCCTTTTTTCTCTAAATCTATTCCGAATAATTCTCCAATGCTGAGGATCAAGCTGTGGCAGGTTTCAAGGAGGGATAAGGAACCGCACCCATTTCTCATTATTGTTGGACTATTTTTCGTGCCTTTAATTTGATGCATCCTATTGTTTTGCAGTTATAATTCTGCCAAAAAAAAAAAAGAGCTATGCGCCAATCTTTACAAAAATAATTAATTACAATTCTGTAGCGAGACTAACTTGCAAAGCAGGATTTTTAAGTGTTACTTTGGTTTCTTTTTTAAAAAATAAATAAAATAAAATGTTGAGAAATGTACAGTTTTAATCAGAGTACCAGTGTGCCTTTAAGCATACTAATAGCTATCATGAAATCCCTTGGTAGCTTCAGAAGTAATATCTCCATTGTGTTTTAAATAATAAAAATGGTGCCAATGTGGCTATAGACCAGAACCTTATAGATAGCTGGAAATTCCATTACCTTGTTTAAAAAGTCCTGCAGCGCCCTGGGTGTAGTAGAGCTGAAATCCTCCACATGATGTTTAGTGATGCAAGCATGTGGTGCTTGCCAGGTTCTGCATTCTGTATGTGCATGCATATTCTGAAGAGCCTCCATGTCCTAGAAATGTCCTTAATGACATTTCTGAAAAAATAAAAATGATGGGTGGCTGCAGCCCAGTGGCTACTTTAGAAGTGGATCCACTTTCCTAGAAGAAAAAAGGTAACTGGGAATAATGGAGGGCTTCTTGTAGAATGAAGAAAGAGTGGGCAGAATGGATTGCATTCTGGAAATTGGTGCATTATAACTGGTTATAGGGGCACGATGGCTCAGTGGATAAAGACGCTGAGCTTTGTCAGCTGCTAAGCTGACCGCCTGGGTTTGAGAACCAAGTGCCGTGCAAACGGGTGAGCTCAATGGGGTTACTGGAGTAATGTTTTCTTCCAATAAGAATGGAAAGCCATTGTGTCGGCTGAGCTGGTATTCAACTGGAGCTCAGCTCATTGTCACCTCCTAATGTCTAGCATCATTTATATTTTTTTAATAAACTAAAAACAAAAAGGGACAACTTGATTTTTCTTTCTGTGTCATATTTCAATCAATCATCTATTCCAGAATTGCTTGCCGGGTTTAATAACATGGTCTCCTAAATTTAACAAGGTGCCTAAGCAGAGATATGCTTCTTACAAAATGGTAAATTAGGTTTCAAGAAGAATGCATTACATAACATCTGTTCCCATAATTGATTAGAATTTCAGTGTCCCTTTGATGTAATAATTTGTGGTGTTTTCTCATTTTGCTTAAGGCTGAAGGTAATTCATCTAGAAAATCTGTTACTGAACCTTTAGACATGTCAGAATTTAACCACCTTGGGAGTTCCCCTGAACATCAAGAAGAAATTACAACTCCAGCATTCCAGGATACCATCACCAGTGAAATGGTGGGTATTTAATAAATTAGACACAAACTTGGAAAACTCAAGTTAATACTGTTCAGGTGCAACTAGAAACCTATTTAAATACTGGGTTAGCGTTTGATTAAAGGTAGGGGTTTCCATGGGAGTGGATCAGCTATGTCAAAATGACAGGCATGATTGGATAATCAAATTCTTGCCCCCTTTTAACATCTATTCCACACGTGTAAAAAAAAAGATGGGCCTTCAGTTGCTCTGTTGCATCTACCATTTTGACATCATTGGCCCTCCCAATACCCTTGATTAAAACCACTGAGGTTTTTTTTACACGTCTTTGCTTTTTCTGTTTCTTCTGTGCATTTAACAGTAAGTGCCACTGAATTTATTGCAGCTCGCTTCTGAAGTTACTATTTGTAAATATTTGCATTCAGCTTCTTTGTCATCAGCTATAGTTCCTCATTACTTTCTCTTCCAACTTTCCATCACTATCCATTTGTAATGTGTTTATAATCAAGTAAGAAAACTGTTTTCATTTGAGTGACTTATCTTTTTAGAATATACCTAGAAAAATGTTTTTGTCACCACAGTAAGGACTTGTTCATAGACCCAACCTCAGGTTAGCCCAGGGGTAGGCAACCTCGGCTGACTCAGGAATTCTGGGAATTGAAGTCCATGAGTCATAAAAGAGCCGAGGTTGCCTGCCCCTGGGTTAGCCCAAAGTTTTAATGATGTACAGTACATAAGAAATTGAGTTTTGCTTTGCTCTTTAATGATTTTCAGCATTTACTCTATTAAACATTGGGGAATTGTTACGTATGTCTTCAGACTTGGTTTAATGTCAAGGTTCCGATAGACAGAGGCAAATAAAGCAGAACAAGGCTTGGAAATTCCTCAAAGGACATGTTTATTAGTTACAAAGTATCGGCATGTCAAAAGTGAAACCAAGTCTGAAGACACACATAACAATTCTCCAATACAAAGTTAAGAAATCTCACCCCTAAGGCTATGCAAGCAACTATGTTCCCCAATACATCTTCTTGGCGGGCTTTTCATGAAACACGCAGCCTGCAATCTCGGGAGCAGCCGATGACTAGCGAAGCACCTGGCAATCCCCCCTCCCTCCTTTCAATGTGTCAACCAAAAATGAATAAGGAAGATGGCCACAGCCATGCTCATTTTTAAAGTTGACACTTTCTTTAGCAAATATAACTGCATAAAGGAAGATTAATTTTATCCATTTTAAATTATTGTGTGTGTTTTTTAATTATGACAAATTAATACAACCAAGGAGAGCTGGTTATATAATCTTTCCACTTTGAAGGTAACTGAGACTTGCTGTTGATCCAGGACAGCTGCTGCTATGACTGCTGCAGATGCAATCTAAATTCACTGATAAATTGTAGACAAATCCCAGTTAAGCTGTATGAGTGGGTGTATGGGTTTTTAGAGTTGATGGGCTACAGATTGGTTAAAAAAAAATCATGTCAAATCACATCAAAGCATCTGTTCTTGGGTACAGAGTATTTTTCAGCTTTTTAAAAGATGGAGACGTGCTAATAGCATATAGTTTTTCCCAGTAAAGTTTTCTTGATATGCAATTGCAGTTTCATGGCGTTTGAGTTCATTTTTTCCCTTACAATGCTCATCGCTTTTGAATGTGTGGTGTGATATGCGTTGCTCTTTTTCTTTCTTTTTGCCAACTGACCCATTGTGAACACCAGAAATAATCACATATTATGTTAGAGGGAAAAAAGTAAGCAGAATGCTATTACCTTGTTTTAAGTGACAGTACTTAATCTTATTATCTTTTTGCCAGAGTTTTCAGAGTAAGCATCATCCGTAAACAAAAACGCTTGAATTTAACTTTGTTAGTTGCATGTGATTAATCCTTAGTTATTCAAAGTATATTAATATTTTAAAGGATCCCCTTGTTGATCTCTCTCTCTCTCTCCTTTTTTATTTGTCTTACATTAGGAAAGCAGCCTGTATTTGAAAAACGCATTTATCTAAAGTTTTGAAATCTTTTTCCTTGTTAGCGTATAACATATTAGGCAGAACTAGATTTTCTAAAGCTCAATACAACAGATATCCGCAAGCATTTAAGCAAATTCATTACAATTTATAATGATGTCACTATGTAAATGAGAGGATTTACATAATTTGCCAGTGCCAACTCTCAAATGACTCACAGCAGTTTATAATAAGCATCAACATAAATAAAAGAATAAAATCAGCAAAATAACCATAGGCACCATTACTGTCACAATGACAAAGCAACAAGCATCAAAGGTCCTGGGGACCACAGCATTAAAAAAATCATGCTGTAGTATATTTCATACATAGCTATAACAACTCTCATCTGCCTATATAGCTTTTTTGCATTCTGCATTAATTGGAGTCTCTAAATGAAACAGTTCAAAGTAAAGGATAGTTCAGAAGCCTTATTTAACCATAATGGGGACATGATTTACTGTTTGCATAGTCTCTTGCTTCAGTCATGGCTGCAGCTAACCCATCTGTTAAGCTGACTGACAGCCCCCTCAGCATTTGAGGCATCCATTTGCAAATTTAGCAGTCTAGCAGAACTCCCAGGCCATAGTTCCTACCCCCCACATCCACAATTCCCAGTGACGCAAGCAAAGAGCCAATACATTTCTGGACAAATAGCAATTCTAGTTAGATAGGATTCAGTTTCAGCTTTTTTTCATCTCACCCAGATTCAATAGACTCCAGACAGTAGATCTTTTTTTTTCCTATCTGGCACAGGGTAGGAATGTACAGCTGGATATTATTGCCATACTTGGTGATGCCTTACATAATCTTTTATGTAGATATCCTCAGGTAGATATTAAAAGAGTGGAGAGGACAGATACCTGCAGGAACCCACCAGGCCAATCTCTCCTCCCTCCATCGACTGATGTTTGATTTCCACTTCGCAAATCAGTACCTCTCACTTATCAACCATGTAGGCAATCCAAATTCATCCATATTCTGAAGAGGGTCTCCATCAGAACAACCAGTGCCACTCGCTGGGTCTGGACCCTGATTAAAAGAGGTCTAACTAATTTGCTCTCTCTGGAGTACTCTATAGCTGAAGCCTCTACATCTGGTCAACAATTGTCTTTAAAAAGGGAAGGTTGGGAGCAGAGAGAGAATTGTGTAATTTAACTGGATCCAGAGAAAGCCTCTTCAGTACCAGCAGTTCCTTTAGGAAGCTGTCATCCCTTGCCAATTATGCTCTGCTTTTCTATGGACTTCCCAAAGGTCTTTGTGTTAAAATACAATCGATCCCATTGTGCTGGGAACAATGAATACTAACAGATTATGATTCTCATTGGCAATATTATACGTATATAAATAATAGCTAACTCAAGCAAGATGATAGCTTGTTGTTCTCCTTTTAAATACTGGCCAAATAATTCTTCCTAGGGCAGTGATGGTGAACCTATGGCACATGTGCCAGAGGTGGCACTCAGAGCCCTCTCTGTGGGCACACGCGCCATGCTCCGGAGATGGCAACTGTCCCTCTTCGACCAGCTGCCCGCTAACTCGCCGAGGTCCCACATGGCCGGATGCATCCCAGCACCCATGCGCTCGCTGGCCTCTGTGTGCAGGGGCCAATGGTGTCAGGCAGCAGCTGCCCCGGCCCCTGCCTCCCCTTGCTGTAACAATGGCACCCCTGCCTCGCCTTGCCTTACCTCACCCCGCAGGACGAGCCTCTTGCCCACCGCCCCACCTGCCAGAGACCCCCTGGATCTCCCCCAACCCTGCCCGGCCCCCACAGGCGTCCCTCCCCATGAGCAACATCGAGGTGATCATGCCCACCTTGGCCACATTCACCCAATCTGCCATGACCACCACAGCCACGCCCACCCAGTGGGCCACGCCCACCTGGCACACGGCAATAAATAAGTGGGTTTTGGGTTGCAGTTTGGGCACTCAGTCTCTAAAAGGTTTGCCATCACTGTCCTAGGGCATTTTGTTTTTAGTTCGATTTTGCTGAATTCATTTTTTTTCCCCACTTTTCTCACAGTCTGGAAATCCAACCAACCCTTACACTTCAAATCAAGAAGAGCTCCATTCTCAACCTGCGTCCAATAATTCTTCAGTGAGCCCTCGCCAAAGACCCATCCAGCACAGAAGAGCACCAGGTTCAACCAACTTCAATCAAGTTCAGCAGCCAAGAGTCAACACAAGCCACGTGGGATCAAATATGCTGATTCTCCTTCTTGTTTTAGCATTGGCAGCACTAGTTGTTAGACGCATATATCTAGCCAATGAGTATGTATTTGAATTATGAGATTCTCTCATTTTAAAGGCCAGTGACTTGAATGTGTTATTGAAATGTTCTATGTTTGGTATGTCATGAGGATTGTTTACATAAGATTACTTTTTTGTATTTTCTCATGTTAAAAGTGAATGCCAAGTGAATACCTGATGAGGTATATTAATATTTTCAAGGAATAAACACTTTGATAGTGGTGAAAGTATGGATGATTAACAATCTGTACAAACTGACAGATTACCCAAAATGTCTTTTGAGAATATTCTGCATTAGCAGAATATTTAAGGGTGAAGGGACTTACTGCATTGTGCACAAGCTTTGATGGGTACTTTTAACTGATAGAGTCCTAAAATTGTGTTCTATGCCAATATGGATTTATGGATGATTATTCAAAATAGCAGGACAATAAAGGTTTATTCATGACAGGGCTCCTTAAATTGAAATGCAGAAATGTTTGCATAGTAAATGTTATTAAATAAAGGAAAGCTGGTAATATATAATAAGCATGTTTCCTACCTAAAAAATTCAGGAAATGAAATGTTGTAAATTGTGAGCATTTTTTTTTTTAAAAAGTGGGGAGAACAGAATATACTTTACTTTTTACTTTTAATTGTCCTTAGAATAATCTTTTGCAAGTTTTGAAGGCTACTTTTAAAATATTCAGTTGTGTATATTTTGCTTTTTTAAAGCTGAGAATTCGCAAAATTGTTATGTAATATTTACCCAAACTTTATTGTCTATAACTTATTTCAGAAATATACATAATGCATTAATTGGTTGTTCATGTACCCATCATTAAAAAATAAAATGCTTTTTGAAAACGCATCAACAAAGTTAGAATATTTTCATAAGTTTATCTAAGAATGCTTCGGGGGGAAAACCTAAGTTTAATTATTAGTTGAGCTTGTCTAATTGCTTCATTCATTGAGTCTGCAAGCAATTGATTCCAAGTAGGAGCTAGAGGTAATGTTGTCAGCCCTTCATAGTAGACTAGATCAGGAAACTGACTCCACAGGAAGACTAGAACTCTCCTTTATTGAAATGGGCTCTAGTAACCGACCCTTGCAAGCTGGCTGTGCTTCCCCCCTCAATCTTTTATCCCAGGGAGGAGCCAGCCTGAGCGTCTTCCTACCCGTGTTTCTCCCAAAATAAGACTGGGTCTTATTTTTCTTTTGCCTCCAAAAGAGGCACCAGGTCTTATTTTTTTTGGAGGGGGGGGGTGTTGTCTTTTATACTCACCTCTGGCTCTGACAGCCCCGCTCAGCCGGTCCACTTCTACAGCCGAAGAGCAGCTTCATTCTGCAGCTGCATTCTGGCCTGCATTTTGCAGTCAGGCTTTTCCGGAAGGTCACTACAGCCTAGTACCGAGCTACGGATACCGCAGAAAAAGTGGGCTAGCGAGGAGAGGCCTGGTAAGTGGGTGCAGGGCATGTAGGGCAGGTCCAACCCCCCCAACCTAGCTTGATTTTTAGGTGTGTCTCGTCCCCAAACTAGGGCTTATTTTTGGGGTGGGGTTATATTAGGCCCACCCCCAAAAATCAAGCTAGGGCTTATTTTCAGAATATGTCTTACTTTCGGGGAAACAGTAATACTACCTCTTTTCCCAGGTATGAAGGAATGCTTTCTGAATGTTTTTTTCAAGGCTGTCCCCTGGCTCTCTTCCTGCCATACCTCGGGATGCAGTCAGCTTCTAATTTCTGGATTGGTTTTTATTTCCCTAAAATTTTAATAAAAATTATAAAAGAAAAAAAGAAAAGTAGGACATCAAGTAATCCCTCTATTCTAGGCCACAAGGAAAAGAATTTGGTGGTTGTGGATGAAGTAATTCAACGCCTTTATCAATACAGTACTTTTTTAAAAAATCTCTCTGTGTATGTGTGTGTGTGTATGAGAGAGAGAATGCACCACTGATTTGTAAACTATGGTTTATGGCTTAATGTCTTAACCTGTAATTTAAACTACAAATGATAACTTTAAACAATAGTGGGAACAAACCATGGCTTTTCATATAGGATTATCCATAGGGACACATATTGACACCGAAAGAAAAAATGAAGGTAACATGGAATTTCCAGCTGGCTGGAAAACTAAAGGGAAAAAAAGGAAACAGACATAAAGGGTTAGAAAGCCATGACTAATTAGGCTAGGGCAGGGGTAGGCAACCTTGGCTCTTTTATGACTCGTGGACTTCAACTCCCAGAATTCCTGAGCCAGCCATGGCTGGCTCAGGAATTCTGGGAGTTGAAGTCCACGAGTCATAAAAGAGCCAAGGTTGCCGCTAGGGCATTTCCAAATTCCCACTGAGCAGCTATTTGAACCGCCCCCTTCCCCCGAGGGCCGAAACGGCACGCTCTCCATGGGCAGCAATGGAGAAAACCAGGGCAGGAAGAAACGCCCTCAGCACACATCAGGGCAACCCTTCATAAAAGCGTAGAGAGGCCGGAGAGAAAGAAGGGCGTACCGCCGCGAGGTACGTCTGATTGGCACAAAGCCTGGCGGATGGAATCCCATCCCGCGTTTCCATTGGCTGTCGGCACCATCTAGAACTCAGTGGAAACGCGGCCAGCCAGGATTACTTTCTTCGCGAGGGACGGCTAATCGGCGAGCAAGAAGGGGAATGAATGGCTGTGAGGTTGACGGTTTAGGAAGCTGGTTTAAAATCTGAAAAAAAAAGCAGCTTTTCTAAGAATGGTCGTTCGGACAAATGCAACGCTTGAGAGATGCAGACAGTTCGATGTTTAAACCAGAGTGCATTTACCCGTCAGGAGGCGGCTGGACGGAAGGAACGGCTGATTCCCAAAGTATGCTGTATTTTTTTGCAAAGCTCATATTGTTGATCTTTTGCGGGGTCCTCCTCGGAGAAAGTAGGAAGCACAGAAAGGGGAGATGGACGGCAGAAGCGCAGGTGCAAAAAATAAGGTAAGGACAGTCTTACGATTAAATGAATTTATCCCTTTTCCTTTGGTTTCCCTCTGTTGCATGTACCGTATTTGCGGAGACGTGTAGTTTTGCAAGTTTTATTATACGTTCCCGCGTACGGTAGTAAGTTTGAAAAGAATGCACAAGAGTACAAGCACAGTAATTGTAAATAACGTTTGCGGTTTTCAAGATTTTTTTTCCTGATTAGCATTAAAAATGCCTCTGAAATCCATGTGGTTTTCATTCTTGACTTTGTGAGTTAGACAACAAACCAGGTTGTTGGTGAAACACAGGGTCGTCTATTCAAAGCACTCTGAAAATACTCAAGAACGCTTTCGTAGGAAACCTGAATTGTGTTTATTATTGTTATGTAGCAAGTCGTATTTTCATAGGATTTAAAAGAATGCAAGCTTCTGGAGAGACGCTAAACTGTAGGAGCTGCATTTAAGCACAACCTTCATCGGGGATGCCACTTACAATCTTGCGAGATCTGGTACTGTTGAGCCAAAGTTCTGAGAAAAAATTATATATATTTCTCTAAAGAGTTGCAGTTTAAGAAATTGCAATTTGACCATATTTAGTTGGACAGAAATAATGTTTAGACAGACTAGTAAGTTTTATTACTAAATAAATTTGCAGCTGAATATCCTGTGCTTAAATAATTATTTATTGCTGGGCATTTTATTTGCAAATAAATTATTAATGGGTATTAATGATGAAAAACAACTATGGAATAGCAACAAAGGTATTTAAATTTATCAGATTTCATGTCAAGAGAGCACATTTATATAAGAGGAAAATACCTAAAATAGCTACCATACCCTGAATACATCTTGGTCTTGAAATCTGCTGTCCAGTGAGAATTGCTTCTTTTCAGACTACTTGGCCTTGCAAACCTGGTTTATTTAGCAAAACCATCAAGTTTTTCTTCCCTTCTATTCCATCTTTTAAACTTCTCCAAATCTTTCCCTAGAACTGTTCCATGCCAGTTGGGATTTCAGGGGGATATAGACTTGGAGGAAAAAATTACCTGCTGTGTTGCATATACAGCTCAAGATTAGGATCTGGGGTGAAGATTTAAGACTTGGTAAAAGAATAGTAAAGTTGCAGTGGAGAAAAAAAGATGTACCAAATTTGCATAAAACAGTTTTCCGGAGTGAATGCTGAACTAGAAAATCTGTTACTGGAAAGGTCCAATGACCTTTCATCTGATAGCATATTCTCAGGAAGACATGATATCAAGATTAACATGGAAGCAAATGCAAATACACTGTAAAATGGGGACAAATGCTTGGGAAGGGATAAAACACTAACAATGATTTTTAGGGGAAAAAATCGTATGAGTGGAATACAGATTTATTAATAGAACAAATGGGTGAGATGTGCGGGATTTGGCCCTGTTTTGTTGATTGCTCAAATTCAAGGGAAGAATGAAGGAGGATCCCCACTTTCAAACCTTAGTATCATTATACATCTTCAAGTAGTATTAATGGAAAGTAGCTCTAGTTGTGATTGGGTGGGAAAGTCCTGAACAATGGAATCTGTGATCTGATTTTACATAATGTAGTCGAACCTCTGTATTTGTCTTGCTCTGGGTCCAGAGCTATTCAGTATGCTTAGCTTGAGGGGATGCTGTTTCTTGAGCTTCTGCCATGTTTGAATGCTTTATGTACCAATCCTGTATGTGTTGATGTATGCTTTCTTAGCTTTTTAATGTTGAGGGTTTTGTCATGTTCAGTCATTTTATATCTTTGTTGTATGCTGCTCAGAGTAATCTCTTACAAGATGGGCAGCTACATAAATTTTTGATATATAAATATATAAAGAAATAAATACTCATGCAACTTTATCAAAAAAATGCTTGACCACTCAGCACACTATAGCACAACCCACACAGGTTATGAAGACAGTAACATTGTCATACATCAGAAACAACTTAGAAACCATCAACAGACCATTACAACCATATGGCATCCCTGTAGCTAACTAAACTAAAGCCTTCCAAAACATCTTATGTAAATCTAAAGACTAAGTAGCTCAAAAAGAGGGGAGAAAATGGGAATCATCTACAACATACAGTGTAAGGATTCTAACAGCCACTATGTAGGACAGAGAGGCAGGAGATTAGCAGAGCACATTGATGAACGCCAGCTAGCAATAAGAAGACCAGATGAAAACTCCTTAATTTCACAACATATGGACAACTGGGAAAACTCGGAGCATCCTAGACCAAGGTAAATCCAAAAATGCTTGGCTCTCAGACAAATCGACCATCAATATCTACATAGAGATAAACATCATTTACACACCATTCAAAAGTAAAAAAAACTAAAAAAGGAAACAAAAAGAGCAGAACACTTTGCCATCAATCAGCACCCAGATGAACAGGGATTAACACCAGAATTGAACTTAGACAAGCAGCAAACAATTCCTAATCAAGGAATTACCAACTCAGACAAACAAGCAGCAAACAACAGCCTAATCAAGGAACTACCCAGGAGAAAACAACACCTTCACCAACACTGACAGGACTAGGTACGGTATGTAAATAGAAGAGTAAATCCCACTCCTTTCTAACTCTGGCTGAAGATGTTGCCTAGTTGGATAACAAAACACCTGCAAACAACCAAGCCTGGAGAACACCAGGGATCCATAAATCAATATTTAGTATTCAGTCCATAATATCATAATATGAGAAGGTATTAGTAAAATACATAAAATGAGCAAAGTGGTCTTTCAGATATAGCTTTTCTCATTTCAGTTGGGCAGAAAAGGCAAATTTCCCAGGCTTTTCCTTACCTACTCATAGAGCAACCTATGTAACTCAATGTTCTGAGCGTTGCACAGTTGTTGTTAGTTGGCTATACTTAAAGCACATATATTTCTAAGCATCCTTGCCAAATTAGAGTTCCCAAGATTCTTTAGGGAAAAGTCAGTGTTTTGGAAGGTAGTCCTCAAATTATCATCATAATTGAGCCTGGAATTACAGTCATAAGTTGTTCCTGTTGTTAAGTGGGTCACTATGTGGCAAAGCCAGATTTTACGACTTTTTTTGTTGTAAAAATAACTGAATCACCACAGTTAAGTGAATGCAGTGATCATTAAGCAAATCCATTGTTCTTAATGAGAGTGATTGATTGATTTGCCAGAAAGCAGAAGTAACTTTTGGTTTCTGACAAAAAAAACCCATCATAAATGTAAGTCCCGTGACCGTGGCTCATTGCAAACAGCCATAAATGGGGGGGGGGCCAGGTTGCCAAGTGCCCCCAAATTTGTTCATGAGGCTACAGTGGTGGAGTGGTTGTTAAAATTTCAAATCTGAGTTGAAAGTAACCCTGGTGAGGTCTGTTGTAGTTTCTAATAGTCGCTAAGTGACTGTACGTAGAGTATCTGGACATGCTTTGTTTCTCCATGCACTGAGAAATAATCCAAGAAGGACTAAAGTGCAGAGTGGCTGTTCCTGTATTCCCCAAGAAAGAGGAAATCAACTCCCTTCCCACCAAAAGAAAAAAGAGGAGACAAGTTGAATAACATTTGCATCTTACGTATTAGATGTAATTTAAACAGAAACCCAAATATCTCTTATCAGGAAGTGTGTGAGCAAATGATTCATATATTGTTTTGGTGTAATTGGGGGCAGCTTTCGTTGTTTTACCCTCTTTTCTTGTGGCCCTTCAACTTGGATGTATGTGGTCTTGAATAGGCAGGTCAAGCCTAAAAGAGATGCTGTCAAAATGCAAGACTCTCCTCTAAAGTGCTGCTCAAGTTGAAGACGCTACTCTGTAGAGTAAGACTTAGGGTTATCCTACCATGAAGTAACTTTCCCAAAGTTTTCTTCTGTGAGAAGATGGAAGATTGTGCAAGAAAGGAGGAGGAGGAGGAGGAGGAAAAAGACAACTTGAAGATGGTCTTGTAAGTGGCATCAGAAATGCCCAGATGGTTGACTCTGGTTAATCTGTTTTTAATCTGCTGTTAAGCTGTTAATCAATCCATGCATACGGCAATGTTATTTCTCAGGGTACTGGGTTCCATAAACTCTTCCTTTTCCTACTATTTCAACAGTAGAATTGGTTGGATGAAAACAATTATACACTGTTTTAAACTGAAATCTGTTTTTCTCCCAGGAGCATGCAGATGTGGTACTGCAAACTAAGCTTTCTCTAGAGTTTTACAGATAATGCACACATTCTTGCAGACCACACTTATAAACAACTCATTTTGGAATCTTCTGCACAATTTTAAAACTTTGGAAAATACAATTTTTTAAAATTCATAGTACAAATTCTGTTACCAAACTTCAGAAGTTTTGACCATATTTTAGTGGAGCAGACATTTGGAGAGTGGGGATATTACAAGTAGCCCTCAACTTATGACCACAATTGAGCCTAAAATTTCTATTGCTGAGAACAGTTAGGTGGATTTTGCTTCATTTTATGACCTTTCTTGCCACAGTTGAATCACTGCGGTTGTTAGGTTAGTAACACAGGTGTTAAGTGAATCTGGCTTTCCCATTGACTTTGCTTGTCAGAAGGCTGCAAAAATGACCCCAGCACACCGCAACCGTCATAAAGATCAGAGCTTTTCAACCAGTGGTACAGGTACCACCTGTGGTACATTGGCACCTAGCAGGTGGTACGCGACCATCCTAGAACCAGGTGGTACGCGACCATCCTAGAAAAGTGGTAGCAGGGGAGGGGAATGAACTGAACCGGTGGCAGCACCGCACAAGCCTGAGCGAGAGATGGCTGGAGCTGCAGGGCTGTCAGGGCTCAGCGGAAGCGCCAGGATCAGTGCCAGGCTCCAGCTGGAGCTCGGCACTGATCCTGGTGCTTCTGCTGAGCCCAGAAGAAGCGCTGATCAGCTGGAATGTTGCAGCCTCTCCAGGGTCTTGTGATTTACATTCAGATGCTTGGCAACTGATTCATATTTATGACGGTCACAGTGCCCCAGGGTCATGTGAAGTGACCAAAACCTGCTGCAACCACTCAGAAGATGGGGGGAATAAAAACCAAACGCCCCCACCCCATCCCCACTGCCAATCCTCAATAGAAATGCTCACAACAATGAAAACCTCGGACAGGAGGAAGAGCGCCGCTGGGTGGGCAAGCAGGTGTCTTGCTCGGCTGTGGCTTGGGGGGCACTTTTTTCAGTGCCATTGTAACTTCAAACAGTCACTAAGCAAACTGTTGTAAGTTGAGGACTACCTGTACTTCATCACTTTTTTCCTTTTTGGGGGGGTCATCAAGTTTTTGACACCTTGCTAGGCGACTGGTGGTACTCGGATGTTGCCATATCCTAAAAGTGGTACAATGGGTGAAAAGGTTGAAAAGCCCTGATAAAGATGAACCAGTTGCCAAGCATCCGAATTTTGATCACGTGACCATGAGGATGCTGCAACGGTCATAGGTGTGAAAAATGGTCATAAGTCACTTTTTTGGTGCTGTGGTAACTTTGAACAATCACCAAATGAATTGTTGTAAATTGAAGTTTACCTGTATACATACACACATAAAGAAATGATGTAATTTCATTTAGTGCATATTACTATAATTTTACAATTCTAATATCAAATCAGCCCAACTGTAAGAATCAGATATATAGCAAGATTAACAGCAATACCTGATTATCAATGTGTTTTGTAGTTTAGGAGTGAGGCAGGTCAGTATCTTTTCCTAATGAATTGTTAATGCCTAGTTGTCTCCATACTAATCGGACCACCAGATTTGAGCTTTGAAGATCCAGCCAATTGCTAGATCTGCTGGCTGGAGAATTCTGGCAGTTGAAGTCCACTCATTTTAAAGTTGCTGAGATTGAGAAACACTGTGAGAGTTGGTAGCCAATAGTTAGCTTTTTGCATCTCTTTGCTCCTACTATCTGGTAGTCATCTGGATTTTATATCCTTGATCAAATACCCATTTGAAGAAGCATTAGAAGAACCAGGTTATTTAGCTAACTAGTACATTTCAGTCTTCTTTACCCTTATGCCTTCATTTAAGCACAGTACACTGAATTCAAAGTTCATTTGGTTGGATTTATACCACTAAAGTTTCATTGAGTTATGTTTGACTGTACCTTTTAGAAAACCTGTTGCTGCATGTCTTGATTTGGATGAATTCAGGCAATTAATAATAAATACATTCAGTAAATAGAACTAACCTTTGGATTAAATTTACACCTATTCAGTCAGACCAGTTGCATGGAAAGAGAGCTCAATGAACACATTAAAGTTGATTATGAAGAGGGAACCTTAACTACAGATGCAATCTGTATATACAGATTATATATTCATACATAAGATCTTATTTTGCTAAAAGTATGGGTAGTCCTCAACTTACAACCATAATTGAGCCCAACATTTCTGTTGCTAAGTGAGATAGCTGTTAAGTGAGTTTTGCCCCATTTACCACCTTTCTTGTCATAGTTGTTAACTGCAGTTGTTAAATTAATAAGATGGTTGTTAAGTGAATCTGGCTTCCCCATTGACTTTGCTTGTCAGAAAGTCGCAAAAGGGGATCACATGACCCTGGGACATTGCAACTGTCATAAATATGAATCATCTGAATTTTGATCACATGATTGTGAGGATGTTGCGATGGTTGTAAGTGTGAAAAATGGTTATAAGTCACTTTTTTCAGTGCCATTGTAACTTCGAACGATCACTAAATGAATGTTGTAAGTCGAAGACTACCCATAGATAGGATGCTGTTGTGTTAGTCAGCATAAAAGGTACTAAAGTAGTTTTCCCTGGTCTAGTGCCCTGAGAATTTGTTGGTCTATAATACCCATCAACACTAACCATGAGAATCATTGTTGTCTGGATGTGATCCAGGTTGGTGAAAGACTACTGCTGTAATGGATAATATCAGTGCATTCAGTTTTCACATTTTCAATTCCTACACCTCCATTTGTCTCAGGCACAACTAAAGATCCAGATATATGATGTTGTCAGGATTTCTCTTATGCTACATTTTCTCTGCTTCTTGAGGATAGTTCTTCATGTTCCCAATTTAGCACAAAGGTATCATGTTGGGACTTAGAGCTGACTCAGTATGCTGGCATGCTCTTCCATCTTGGATAGTGAGATGGGCAGCATATAAATGTAATAAATAATAAATAACTTCATAGTCACTCTACTGTATGGAATCTCTTTGCAAAGATGTAATTTCAGTATATTATTATTATTGGCAAACTACCCCTCCCCCCTCAGCTTTTTAAAATGTTCCTTCTCACAGTTACCAGAAATTATAGGTGAAATTATAAAAACAGAAATTATTCTTGTTTTTCAATTTAGTTACTCATATAAAAAGAACTATGACATGACCAAAACTTGGCCAGGGAGCAGCAAAAAGCTTCTGAGGGTAGAGGACCATGATTTCTCCATGAGGCCTGCCTTTGGAGGTAAGAAATGTGTGTTTGCTCATCTCTGTAAAATTGAATGATTCAGCTTAGAAGATCCAAGCCAGCTGCTTCAAGCTATTTTTTTTATGAAGCCTCCCAACTGGATGGCGAGATTACTCTATGATTTCAGAGCGTTGCTAAAGCTGGAATATAAGTGTACCAATGACTTTCCAGGAGCACATGGAAGGACTATACGCCCATCTTATTGACTGTCTTCAGGAAATCTGGTTTGCTAAATGATACTCTATTCTGGGGAACTGTAGATCTTGAAAATATAGAGAAAGCACACAGCATCCCTGTTATATTGAACTGACTACATAATATAATGCCCAGAACCCAAGGTAAGTAAAATATTTATTAGCCCACAGCAGTTGCCTTAAGTTCCTTATATTTAACCATATTAAAGCCTAATACAGTGCATTTTGTTCAGCAATAATTTATTTATTTTATTTATTTATTTATTTTTTGGATTTATATCCCGCCCTTCTCCCGTAGGACTCAGGGCGGCTGACAATCTATTTAAAATACATACAAAACAAAATTTAGTGCCCAGTCTTGATTTCCTTGACTGGATCCCAAATCCTGGGTTGTGTGTCAGCCAAGTGGATTCTTGCATCCTGCTTGGAGACAGAGGAGGAGTACATGGTCACTTGCAGTACACAAGCTCCTCAATTGAAGCCCTCTAACCACTGTTGCTGCAAATCAATTAGGCGGTTTGCTGATATTCAGGAAGTCAGGCAGTCAGTGATGACAAAATGCTGCATGTGATTGGCCGATCAAAGCTTGCCCTATTTTATATGTGAGAAGCACGTTAAAAGGGAGTTGGGCTTCCATTGTCCAGTGGCACCCGCTATTTCAGTGTTGTTGACCGCCTCTGCAGATGCCCCCTCTGCTATTTAAGGCAGGAAATACAAAATGCCCACAGTGTAAATCATAAAATAGATTGCATAGTTGATAAACACTCTTTCCCCACCAAAAGAAGCTGAATGGGAGGAAAAAACCCCAGGAAATTGCAGCCTCTTTTGTAACATTTTCTCATCCTTTATGCCCTTTGACACCCCCACCCCCAAAATGCCATTCTTCCTTGGGAAAGATGAATTCCATATGGACCTGCATTCAACATTTCTGCTTGCTTGCAGCTAAGCCTCTCTTCTCCTTCATGTCCTATTCTGTGTAAATAGGAATCACATCCTGTTTTGACCCTTCCTAAGTGATTCCTTCATTCTAGTGACTTTGCTATTCCTAGCAGATGTTCAGGCAATATTTGTTACAAATACTAATATATAACCATTATGTAAATGTTGCTCTTAGACTCCCTTCCTCAAATTCTGAGTCAAAGCATTTTCATCTAGGTCAGCTCATTTTTCCAATGAAAACAACTGGGATTCCATGAATAAGCAGCTTTAGCTGATACTTAAAATAGCGCTATCTTTTCTGTGGAAGAACAGCCTAATGTGTTGTGGGAGAGTTGTTATTCATCTCCTCTATCCCCAACTTAGTACAAACAGCTTCTACTGGAGGGCCTTTAATCTGGACATACAGCTGAAAATATAAATGGGCCCACTTCAAGGGCAAACCTAATTGCTAAATTTTACTAATACGTTGTCATAGGTGAACGAATACCACAATGTCCTGCAGTATCTAGCATATAAACTATCCAGCTGTTTCTAGAGTTTTGGAGGGTTTTCTTGGGTTTGGTTTTCTAAATGGGAATTTGGCACTGCAGGTTTTCCCCTTCCCTGCCTAAGCTACATCCCATCTAGGTGCCTCAGGTAAAATTGAGAGAGCCTCAGGTACTGCATTGTTCATCAGAAAAGAGGCAGTATAAAGCTTCTGAATTGTATCTGTTTTCCTTGAAGAAATTATTATTGTGATTGCACACTATGGCTGTGTTTATGCAGCCCTTTTAACCAGACCAGTTAAACACCCAGCACACAAGGATGTATACGTACTTTCTGAACAGTCTCAGTATAGCTTAGCCCCCTGGTTTTCTTGAGGGCTTGCTACCTAGTGGTAGTCTCCGGGGGGAGGGGGGAGATCAAAGTGGGAAAGAATATACTAGCTGTCTATGGCTGGTTCTGCCTTAAACAAGCGCATTAGGCTTTTCACTACTTCTGCTGATAAGATGATTCTTGTGGAAATAATTTCTACTGCTTTTAATTCATTTGAAGTGGGAGCAACATTTTGCCTACTTCATAGGCTGCTTCTTGCTGCTGGTAGCCACAGACTCTTGCCATTCTTTTATAGCACTTGCCAGTTTGGCATATATGAGACCTCTGGTAAAATGGACGAAGGGTCTGTCAGTTTTTCCTTTTAGCGGGGTGGGGGTGGGAAGGGGGCTGGAGGGGGAGGGGGTAACAAAGGAGTGGAGTGAAACATAAGAGGGTCTCTTTGAGAGTCCTTGCAGTCTTCCACCACATTGATGAGGTATTACTTGGATTATTTCTGAACCTGTGTTTATCACTTCTGAAAGAGTGCTAAGCCCATGTCTGAAAACAGACTAGCTGACAGGTCAATGGGACAGAAGAAAAGCAGAGGAGCAGGTTGGAGGAGGCATCTTTCTATGGCAGCCTGTCACTCGGTTTGAAAGTTGGCTGAACCCTCCATCACCAGTACCAGTTGCTCAGCCTGCCCCTTCACAGTAAGCGGTGATTGGTTTGTTTGCCAGAATGAAACACAGAGTGGAAGGGGAGACGAAGCTTTGGAACCCACCAATTGCTGTCCTTGAATTACCCTGGATTAAAGCTGCAGGAACAGCATTTCTCACTCACCTCATGATTATGGCAGGATAGAAGTGAGAAAGAGAATATTAACCATAGGTATTTTAAAATGGTTTATTCTAACCCTTGAGATATGATAGGATCACCCAAGTATTTAGAAGATTGGTCTCACAGGACTGCTACATACACATCTCTTTGTGGCAAACACACACACACACACACACACACAAGCACCAATCTCAAGTTATCTCTAGCTCTCACTTTTTCCTGGGATGTCTTATTTTTGTTGAGGACTAGAAGACCGGTCTCATGGAGGAAACACTACTTCAACTCTCCATGCCATGGAATTCTTCAGGGATATGTTTCTCAGAGGGTACTGCTAAGAAAAACAAGGAAATTCTATTTTCCTTTCCCTTCCCTGACTTAAAGCTCTTTCTCACAGCTTGGGTAGGAGTATTAGTACTTTGTGCATCTGGATGCATGAATACTAATGCTGTTTGTTACTATTTAAAATAGTACAAGATTCTTGGTGCTCTTTCATTTTGTGAAAGATCCTTACAGATGCTCTCTCCGTGCATCATTGTTGCCCGCCTCCAAAAGAGCCTTAGAAACACGAAGCACAGTAATTTGCATCTAATAATTAATTTGTTAAATTTAATCCACTGTCGACCTATAGGCTTATGTCTTTTTAAAAAGAAACCTACCTATCCATCACTTCTTTAATTCATAAATGGTTGCCCAATGATTTTATTATAAGACTTGTTTGATAGCTACAGTTGATTTAGTGTTTTTTTAACACTCTACTCAAGTTGCCTGCTCTCTGCTATGGTATGTGTTTTCACCACATCTGATGCAAGAGGGGTAAAGCCACCTATTTTAGTTACATGATCCAATTGCTCTGGAAAAATAGGAAGTCTCCTTTGTAATTGATGCAGTAACATCTGATAGCTAGGCTTGGCAGTGCGTGGTCCAAGAACTAGCCCTAAATGTATACAACAGAGAGAAAGAATATAAGTGTTTCAATATTACAAATACAAATCCTAAAGAGGAAACCATATATGTGTAGCTGAAATATAACTTAAAGCAGACATCTATTCTGGAAATGGTATTTCTTTCACTCTTTTACTCACAAGGAAAGGTTAATCCCCTTCGACTCTCAGTTGGGCCCTGCCCTCTGTTTGCTTCAACAGTGCTCTTTTCCAGTGTCAACCCTATCTTTACAGCTAACCCCCACCCCTGGAAGGAAGACATATTAATACTTCAACGTCTCTACAAGGGAGTTCTTCTGTGTTTAATTGATGTAGGAAAAGAAAAAACTTATTTCAGATGTTCAGTAATTAAGCAAGGACTACTTATATTCAATATCTCAATTTCTTTCCCTTGCAGGCCCGGCTATTCCAGTTGGAGTGGATGTGCAGGTTGAAAATTTGGACAGTATTTCAGAAGTCAATATGGTATGCTATTGTTGCTTAATGTCTCTTCTTCTTCCTCCTCTTCTCCTCCTCCTCTACCACCACCACTTGAGGTATCAAGGGAGATACACAGTTCTGGTTCTTGCACTTCTGGTGGACTCAACCATTGTTATTTCATGCTTTGATGTTATCTCTCCATCTTCTTCAGGATCTGACTTGTGTTCTTGACCTTCTCCTCTTTTTGTATATGCCTTGTATGGTATAGAACACCAAGACATATATGTGCATACAACTAATGTTAATATTTATTGCATCAACTTTTTTTTATGGTGTAGCAATCAAAATATTATGTTGTCAATTGGATGATTGTTATAGATTTTCTTAAAAATGAAGCCTAGTTGGAGTTGAATAAAGCTTAATATGTGAAGAAGTAACACTGAGAGATTGAAATTAAGAGTATAGTCTGTGTATCGGAGGATGCAGAACTAGCTCTCTCGGGAAATTTTGACCTATATCGTGGCTTTAAATGTTTATTTTTAAAAGGAAAAAGCTCTTGAACTGCTTCTCCAAGGAACTAGTCACCATTTGTGCAAGAAATACAATAATGGTTGGACTTAACAGATCATACTAATGGTTTAATGTGTTCCCAGGCAGCTATAGCCTATTCAGTAAACCATTATTAAACCTACCATTGTGCGATATTTGAATAGTATCTGGGATGCGACCATTGGGAGATAGCCTTCTTCATTGTGATTGTGGTTCAATTTCTTCTTATTTTCTTTTCCTGATAACTTAAAAAACTCACAATTGCCAATTAATTTATAATTTTAGTTTTTTTATAAGAACAGGAGATATAATCACAAGATATCTCACCCCACCCCACACTTTGTTTCAGGACTTTACAATGACATTGTATTTGAGGCATTATTGGAAGGACGAGCGTCTCTCCTTTCCCAGTCGTACGAACAGGAGCATGACTTTTGATGGACGGTTGGTAAAGAAGATCTGGGTGCCAGACATTTTCTTTGTCCACTCTAAAAGATCCTTCATTCACGATACCACCACTGACAATATCATGTTGCGAGTGTTCCCAGATGGCCATGTGCTCTATAGCACGAGGTAATCCCACAGTTATTACTCCATATTCTTTTTTCCAGTATTGTAATTCAAGCATATCTTTGTGACATGGACAGATTTCAAATATGAGTATGTGGATTCCTATAATACCATATTCATCACATGCCTGTAGCTTCTCCTTTGTGATAACATCAACTCTTATTTTTCTACATGAATTCATATATTACTCTTATTAATCCCATGCCTGTAGCTCTTTCTTTGTAACAACATCAGCTCTTTTTTTTATCTATTTCTAGGATCACAGTGACAGCAATGTGCAATATGGACTTCAGCCGTTTCCCCCTAGATTCACAGACATGTTCATTGGAGCTTGAAAGCTGTCAGTAGCTTTTATTTATCTTTGGTGATAAAACTACAGGGGTAGCAAATTAAACAACAGTCAATCTGTTGGCTTTACTGATATCCATTACTTCTGCCTGAGCTGGTTGCTTCTCTGCTTTAAGGCAAAGCCATCCTGCAGTATCCATTCTTCTGCCATTAAAAATACACCATTTCCTCTGCCTTTTCATGTCCAGCGAGAGTTTAAAAAGATATTTGTGGATGGGGGACTCACAGAGTGGATTTTTAGAAAAAGCGTGGAGTGCATTGGGGAGGCCACATCCAGTAGATGAGTAACTATAGAGGGGACTATGATTTTCTGGACTACTTTCTCTTTGGTGAATTACTTGGTTTCTCTTAACTGCATGAAACCCATTTGAAGCTTTTAGTGTTGTTTTCGTTTATTTCCAACCTCTAAATCAGGGCTTTTCAACCAGTGGTACGGGTACCACCTGTGGTACATTGGCACCTGGCAGGTGGTACACGACCATCCTAGAAAAGTAGCAGGGGAGGGGAATGAGAGCACCGCCGGGCGGGCAAGCAGGTGTCTTGCTTGGCTGTGCCTTGGGGGGCCACTTTTTTCAGTGCCATTGTAACTTCGAACAGTCACTAAGCAAACTGTTGTAAGTCGAGGATTACCTGTACTTTATCACTTTTTTCCTTTTTTTTTTTTTTTGGTCATCAGGTTTTTGACACCTTGCTAGGCGACTGGTGGTACTCGGATATTGCCATATCTTAAAAGTGGTACAATGGGTGAAAAGGTTGAAAAGCCCTGCTCTAAATTTAGGAAATCCGTAGACAGTGGGGTAGTCTGATGGGTTTTGGGGGAGTCACAAAACATAGGCCTCTGATTAATTGGCCTGTTTTGTAATTTTGCTGCTGACCGGTAAAATAATTATTTTGCTTTTTCCACATCTACTTTTGCAGATGCGTATACAGATGAAGATTTGATGTTATACTGGAAAAATGGGACTGAATCTCTAAAGACAGACGAAAATATTTCCTTGTCTCAATTCTTGATTCAAAAATTTCATACAACCTCCAGACTTGCTTTTTATAATAGTACTGGTATGGCAAGAAAGTTTCACTCCGTTCTTTCATTCTTTATTAATTTTTCGACTGTATTTCCCCTGTCAAACTCAGGCAGCCATTTGATCTTCCACTACCCTTTTTAATTCTCCCAACTATCCTGTGCAGCATATAGTATTAGAGATAACTGAGATACTGAGTTTTCCAAAGTTTCTGAGTGAGTTTCATTGCTACGTACATATTTAAAACTTCTGGTGCCGTTTGAGAATTCTAACATCACCACTGTAGCCTTGTGTTCTCTATTCATATAGTTGCTTGGTGAATGTAAATAAAGCATCTCTTGTAAACTAAAGGTCAACAACTTATATTGATAGTCATACATTAAAAAGCTTCTTTGCTATCTCATCTTAATATAGCTGTAATAAGGCCCCCAAACGTTCTCTCATGTTATTTACAAAATGAGGTAGATATTGTTAAAGCGGTTTTTTAAAAATCAAATGGACTTTCTGAATAACTCAGGCTTCAGAACAAAAGTGCAAAAAGACAGTAACTTTCTTGAGAAGACATTTCTCCAGATACTACAGAATTACAGCTATCACTGCCTTCACTATTGAAGAACTTGCTGGAGCAGCTAGGCTGTGTAGTTCAGCATTGTTTCCCTTTTTAATGGAAGATACGTAGTTTATAGCAATAAGATTAAGGTACTTGTGTTTCCAGTGGTGTGTCTTCAGCATCATTGTACAGTTGCAAACAGCATAATTGTTACAAGGACAAATACAGTACTTAAATTTAATTGCATTTTGAAACTGTTTTCTCCCCTTCTCCCTCCTTCCCCCTCCTCCCCCCCACAGTGTCTATCAGCATTTTTATTTTCTTCCTCTTTTTGTATTCTTTCAGTCTATCTCTTTTTCCCTCCCCCGCTGTTCTTATATTTTATCTGTTGGCATATAAGATGCCAATATTTCTGCTCACTTCACATTTTAACATTTTTCTTCAATAGGTCGGTACAATCGCCTTTACATTAACTTTATTCTACATCGCCATATTTTCTTCTTTCTGCTCCAAACCTATTTTCCTGCCACGTTGATGGTCATGTTATCCTGGGTTTCCTTCTGGATAGACCATAGAGCTGTGCCTGCAAGAGTGTCCTTAGGTGAGAGATTCCTCTGTAGACACATAAGATATGGGGTATCTTATGGGGTATTTTACAACATACCACATTTAGAAAAATATATCCATTCGTTTTGATTTCTGTGCCTAAGGTTTCTATTCTAAAAATAAAATAGGGCAAAGTATGCAAAAGGCATATATTATGCTTTGTCTTTACAGAAATAAAAATGTAATACAATATCTTAGACATTAATCCTTGACAGATTAGCGTTAGCTATAAAATATTTATTCAGTTAGATTTAATTAGGTTAATTAATTAGATTTATATGGCTGCCTATGTTACCAGAATGACTTGGTGAGTAACAACAAATAAAAGCACATACAAAATAACAACCAATATATAAAACCACTGAAATAAAAGCAAATTTAATGAACTTCCAGGCCCGGGAGCACATCCAGGCTTGGGAAGCTTCTCAGAAAATGAGCAGAGTTGGGATCAGTCTTCTCCCCCACCCCCAAATAATTTTATTAAAGGTTATAATTACAATAGTAAGAACTAATACAGAGTAAAAGAAAATAGAATAAAAGGTGCAAAGAAAAAAAAAGGAAAGGTGGGAATAATAAAAATTAAAGAATATAGTAAAGAAAAAAATAAATATATAAAGAAATTATTTTCAACCTTCAATCACAAGTATAAACAATTTTAATAAAATTTTACTTCCTCTTAAATTACAAAAATGATATCTTCTTCCCATATCCCATCTCTTATCTATAAAACAAATCCATAAAACATAGTTATTTTAGCTTTTGTGTCAGCAAAAGTACATTAAAGGTGACCAGAAATAATGAATCTATTTTAATCTTGATGAAATAAACCAACTTTATATCCCTTCCTTAATCTTTAGTCCATTCAAATAACATCATAGAACTTGATTTCTTTTCATTTTTTCGTTGTCCCTTTTTACAAGATTCTTCAAAACTTTTAACAAGTCTCTTTTGTAAGTCCAATATAATAAAACTATCCAGGTCATTCCTTTGGTTTGTTGTTTATATTCAATTTTAATTATTAAAATATCAGCAACTTTCCTTTGTACACCCAGAGCAACATCTTTTTCAGTAATACATACAGTTTTGTAACCTGTCATTTGTAAATCCATTTTCAACTCTGTCTTGTAGGTAAAACTTATTTCTTTTTCATAATATCTTCTAGATACAATCTAACGATAGAGGTTGTTGTCATTGTTAATATTTCTGGTTCCATTTTTCAAAAATGTCCAATATGTCCAGTGTTAGAATATTTTATGCCATTCTGTAACACTTAGCCAACTTTATGTGTTCTTCTCCTTTAAATAAAATCTTTAGTTCCCTCTAGTGTCCAATTTTTGAAATGTTATTTTTTTAAAAAAAATTCAAAACAAGCATTTTGTATAGGAAAATTTTTTTAATAATTAATTCCAAAACCTTATTTTAAATTTATCTTGACCCTTATTCATCTGTAACTTTTTAAAATCAAAGTTTTAATCAACCTTTCGCTGCTTATTTTTTTAAAAATTAGGATTGAGGTACAATCCTAATGGAACCTCTCCATTCAGGTCATAAATCTTGTAAATCTGTTGTAAAATGAATCAGACTTATTTTAATGACAGTTTTTTACTGCACTTGTTAAGCAAATCAACCGGGGCATTAAGTGAAGGAAGATCAGGTTTGCTATTTGCTTCTGTTTGTTAAGTGACCTCTGCGATTGTTAAGTGAACCCATAAGCTCGAGAATTTATAAGGTTCCCCAGTGGATCCAGAAGGAAATGCTGTCACCTACCCATCAGCTGTTCTGGCAAGGCGAGTTGCCCCTCTGCCTCCAAACTGCAGCATTTCCATGCAAGTGCCTGGATTTAAATTGGGGTGGGGGGTAAATTTGCAGGGCTCCCATGGAGCCTCCAGAGGGAACCACTGCCTATCAGTTGTTCTACAAGCAATTTACAGTAGGACTGCACACACCAGGGGTGTCAAACTCAATTTCACTGAGGGATGCATCAGCATTGCGGTTGCCCTGGGGGGGCCAGGTGGGTGTGGCCAGAGTGGGTGCAGCCTACTGGGTGGGCGTGGATAGAGTGGGTGTGGCCTACTGGGTGGGCATGGCCAGTTCTACATCATTCGCATAAAAGGTGCCTATGGAGGCCTGGGCAGGAGTGGGACAGATCTGAGGGTCTCTGGCAGAAGGGGGTGGGACTGGGGCAAGTGCCAAGGCATGGTCCACCGGGGCATGTGCCAAGATGGCCACCACAAAATTGTACATTGGCTCCCAGCTGGCCTGGGCCAGGGCCAAGGCAGCGGGGGCCATTCCCTCACTGTTTCCAGGATGGCTTCGCGGGCCACATGAAACCACTTCATGGGCCGCATCCGGTCCCCGGGCCTTGTGTTTGACATGTCTGGCACACACCATTCGTCTAAGCAAAAACAAAGAAGCACAGTACAGTAGAATACAAAGAAATTTTCTGCAAGCAGTCTCAAAACACAAGCAAACAAATACAGTAGAGTATGCAAAGGAACTTTACAGTATTCAATCTACTTTCTGTAGATGCTGGCTAGTATTTCCGCAAGCAATTCCAAGGCAAGAAGAAACACAGAAATGAAAAAAACTTTTATCTTTGTAAAGTACTTACAAACAAGCACAGTGTTATAATGAAAAAGGAAATTACTCGCAAAGGCAACTAGTCCTCCAATCCTCAAGGCAACAGCAACAAAAGAAGCAACGAGCGGTAGAGAAATTCACTCCTCTAGTTCTCTACGTGGTATCAGTGAGGGGGGAAAAAGCACACTGGCTGCAAATGTCCTGATCTTGATTGCTCATATGGGAAAAAATGTGCTTGAGTACATGGACCTCGGAAATCATGTCATAATTGCAGGCAACTTGTGGATCCCAAAAGGGAGGTCACAGGTCAAAAAACGGCCACTGCTTGAAGAGTGGTCACATGACTGCAGAGGTCTCTTGTTGGTCACCATTTTGAACCCCTATCATAAATACATTTTGGGGGTATATTTGTAACTTTGAACACTCGTTACACAGCCTGTTGTACCTGAAGGACTACCTGTAGTTAAATCTTTTTTGTTAAGGACTGTAGGCAAACTCACCCGGGGCTTTCAAACTTATTAATCCAAAGGTTTCTAATAGCTGAAAAATATCTTAACAAGCAATTTCTAAAAGTGGTTATAAAAGAAAGGATGCAAATGTAATGTCTTTTCAAAGATGCCAGCCGTGGTTTTGAGCAGGATGACTATTCCTTCCTCTGCCAGAGACTGCTGTCTTGTGAACATTTGTAAAGCAGATACCGGTATCAATGTGTTTTTTTTTCCCCCTTGTTAGCAATAGATGAGATTTTTGTAAAAAATAAAAATCTGACAAACAACAAGGGCCTAGAGCAGGGGCAGGCAACCTTGGCTCTTTTATGACTCGTGGACTTCAACTCCCAGAATTCCTGAGCCAGGCATGCATGGCTGGCTCAGGAATTCTGGGAGTTGAAGTCCACAAGTCATAAAAGAACCAAGGTTGCCTACCCCTAGCCTAGAGGATCTCAGAAGTCTCAGTTATTGGATACTTAACAGGTAATGCCTAGGAGTGGTAGTTACTGCCTATTTAGCATATGCTCAAGAGGTTTGCTTTTTTATTATCATTTCCACAAAGACTTTGAAATTAACTGTATCTGGTTATTAGAGTTGATTCAGATGAGCTTATTGCTTGAGTTGTGTTGATCCCATCTTTGTGCATGTGGTTTCTTCAGGAATCACAATAGTCCTGACCATGTCTACCATCATCACTGGTGTCAATGCCTCCATGCCTGGCGTTTCCTATATCAAGGCTGTGGACATTTACCTCTGGGTCAGTTTTGTGTTTGTCTTCCTCTCGGTCATTGAATATGCAGCCGTGAACTACCTGGCAACAGTGCAAGAGCGGAAGGAGCAAGAAAAGGTGAGAAATGCTTATGACCATGTGCTTGGATTTATGCCTATAGTAGAACAGCCTTCTCTAACCCAGCTGGCCCTGTTGGGGGAAATCCATAGTAGAAATTTCTGATGTACATACTGGTAGTCTTTGCTTAATGACCACAATTGGGAGCAGCAACTTCATTGCTAAGTGACATAGTAGTTAAGCAAGATAACAATATGGCAAAGGACTTAACAACTTCCCTTCCATCGTGGTTATTAAGGAAATCACCTGCAATCATTAAGCTCATCATAATGTGACTGCAATTTGTGATTTTACTGCTGGCTTCTCCATTGAGTCAGTTTTGTCAGAAATCAGCTGTGAAGTGTGAGTGAACATTATAAAAAGTAAGGAGGCAAATAAAATTCCCAATATTTGAACTGGTTCAGTCTGGGATTTAGTAGAAATAATGTTGGGAGATTCAGAATGGAGAAATTCAATAAAGTATTTCCCTGGTTTTACTCCATTTTTTTCAGTCACTGCTGATGGCTTGCCAGGAAGCTATGACTAGACCGACAACAGGAAAATCAGGCAAATTTCCATGCATAGAATGTACCTATGCAGGATGCTTGATGACATCTGTTTGAGATGATATGCTGTTAGTGTTGTTGGTGTTATTAAGTTGCATGATACAAGCCAAGTTTATTTAAAATATTTTTTTTCTTAATGCATGATCAATATCCCCAATAAAATGGCCATTTTAGTTGTCTAAGGAGCTGCAGGCTAGAAAGCATGTGAGAATCCTATGGTGGATAAAAGATCTCAGTGGGTATGTTTGTGGAAGGGTAGGTCCCTCAGATCTCAAACCTCAGATCCAATTCTCTAGAGGAGAAACGGGCCCAACAAGACTGATTTTTTACCATGCAATCCAGACTGATAATCTACCTATTCTGTTCTAGACAGGAAACTTGCTCAATTTCAGTCTGGAACAGATAGATAACTCAGAGGAACAAACAGGAAATATTGCTTTATTCTGGGAATCCTAAACAATGACTTA